AGGGCTTCATAATCACATTGAAGTAACATACAACTGTTTCTTTTAGACATAGCATTATACATTATCTTTCATTTCTTTACTTCTAGGGTCCGAGGTGGTTGGCTTTGATGGGAAAAGTTGTCTAATTTACACATTTAATCAAAAACTCATGAGTGAACATGTGATTTCTCTGAAGTTTAAGACAATGCAAAGTGATGGAATTCTCCTCCACAGAGAAGGACAAAATGGAGACCACATTACCCTGGAATTAATTAAAGGGAAGCTGTCCCTACTCATTAATTTAGGTAACAGCTACAGTCTCATAAAATCAGATATAGTTGTTAGGTGTTATTTGACTAAAACTTTTTTCAATTTATTAAGTGGATTTTAATGTATAGAGTATGATAAACTAGCAATATCTATTAGAACAATTATTTTTATATGGAATTAATAGTTTGTTATTTTTTTTTCCTTTCAAGGTGATACTAAAACTCATCTTTCTAATGCTCAAATTAATATTAAGCTGGGCAGCCTTTTGGATGATCAGCAGTGGCATTCTGTTCTCATTGAACAATTTAACAATCAAGTAAACTTTACAGTGGATAAACACACTCATCATTTTCATACAAAAGGAGAATTCAATTATTTGGACCTTGATTATGAGGTGTGAAAATTACTTTTCCTTTATTATCGTTATTAACTTTGATATGTAAATGCAGTGAAAAAAAGCAAAGGATATAGAATATAGCTAAGTTTGTAGTACTTGCGACTTTAGGGATTTTCTGCCTCATAAAGGACTGAATCAAAGAAAACGAGATGTTCTTAAATTACTAATGCTCCACTAGACTTGCAACTGAAAGTTTTCAAAACTTTTCATCTTTTTCATCTCAGAATTCATTTTAATACCTTTGTTTCAGTAGTGCTGCAAATGTCAAAAATGTAGACAGAAAAATATATAGAAATTATATTCTATGTATATTCTATAGAAACGTATATATAGAAAAATACAGAAAATGTAAGGAATGAACCCCAACTCAGAGTAATCAACTTATGGCTTGATGGAAATGACAATAAATCAACATAAAACCATTTAAAAAATGTTTATATTAAAAATTCAGTTCCTGTTAAATCTGTCGGATGTACTGTGAAAAAATCTTGTTTACATGAGTGGTAGATTCATGAAAAGGCGTAGATGTAATTTGCTGTGAGAGTTTCCCACCACTGGTTGAAAATACCACTATTTCACAGTTGTAATGTGATGACTAGCTGATTTATGTTTGCCCCTGCCCTGTTTGTTGGGTGAGAAAATGAGTGATAGTGCAGAATATGTGGAGCCTGCAGATCTAAATTACTTTATTCTACTCATTTGAGCTTTTCAGCAGTTTAGAGTAAGATTGCATGCTGTTCTGTGTCTGCATTATCCCATTTCAAAAATATCATTCACAAGATTAAAGTCATGATTCTGCTTTAAGTTTCTGAATCCAAACCATAATGCCAAGGCTTGGAGGATCATTTGAATTAAAAAGAATAAAAAAAAAAAAAAGGTGGGGGGAGAATGAATGCAAGTTTTAACTGATTAGCAAGTAAATATATTTTTACTAACACCCCCCCTAATATTGCAAATTAATATTTCCTCTCTTCCACATGCTGTACTTTGAAGTATGTGTTACAAATACAGAGTAGAAAGGAAAGCAGAAGCTGGAAAAAAGCCTAAAAAAATCCAGTAAAGTATGAACCAATGTACTTAGAGTTGAATTTTTTACTATTAAAAAATTCTTAATAACTGAATTAAATATGATATTTTAATAAAATTATTTTAAATATTGAATGAAATTTCAAAATTAAAAGTGGTATAATTTAAAATTACCTTTTCTGCAATGTCAACCAGAATAACTTTGAAATTAAGGAGTTCAAAAGTTCAATTAAATTGGGATCCTGTATCAGATAGTGCCCAAGAGTGGAAACATAGACCAGAGCATAACTCAGGTCACCCTTGTGTCTATGCTTTTCTAAAATAATCTACTGTTTTCTAACAGTTTCTGCCTCAGGGACTTATCAAGACAGAGCTATATTTTTTAGTTTAATAGCTCTCAATGTATTTTTATTCTTATTAAGTCTTCCAATTTCTTTCTGAACCAAAGGAAATATACATCATAACATAAGCAACTGCATAGCCTAAGCATTTTGAAAGGGAAAAAGTTCTCTCATTTGTTTTCAGTCGTCCCTAGAATAACTTAATTTGATGCGTTCTTGTGCTCCACTATTGTAGGACTGTTAAAAGTAAGCAACTGTTAAAAGGTAGCCTCAGAACAAAAAAATAAAACAAAAAACCCACCACAACCCCCCCCCCATTTCAGAATATTTTAATGCATACATATGACTCAATATAACCTAATTTTTGTTAGCCGGTTCTTTTAACACATAGATGTGATACAAGGCAAGAGCTGAGAAAAAGCAGACTTCTGGCCAATCTTTGACTTTTAATCTTATGCTATTGGCAACTTCATTCTTAGAAAATTACTTAATAGTATCATTGATTTCTCTTCTCTTTCTAAGCTCAGCTTTGGAGGGATGCCAGTGCCTGGAAAATCAGGGACATTTTCACACAGGAACTTTCATGGGTGTTTTGAAAATATTTATTATAATGGAGTGAACATTATTGACCTGGCCAGGAGGCATAAGTCTCAGATCTACTCTGTGGTAAGAGATTCATAGTTAAGAAAGAATAAAAAGTAAAATAAGAAGAAAAAAACAACAGCCACTTTCATATGCAGTATGATAGTGCGGGATGTATTTTATTCTTCAGTTCTTTATCAGATATTTACATGTGTGTGTTATCTCACTGTTTTGTGGTACCTTACTGTTGTGCATGTGCAAAGGCAGTAGTGAAATAAGATGTATTTGAAGTCATCAAAGGTCTGTTTTTGAGTTCTGTACCTGACTAGTAAGAATACCAGCAGTGTATTTTAAAAGCCTTCTGTTGCTGAGGACACTATGCCAGTCTGTTTTCTCCAGAGCATTATAATTTTGATAGATAAGTTCTGCTTGTAAATTTGTATTGCCCTTTGTCTGCAGAGCTATACTTTAGGGTTTAATGTATTTATTGTGATATGGCCAACGGCTGTATTAACCAAATTGCCACCTTTTAGAGTAACAGTTCTAGTGAATAGACTTTCTTCTGTGTTACAGAATGTTATCTATATATTTTATTAAGACTTTTGTTGTTTGTTTTTATTTTGTTGATTTTTTTTCCAGTAGTACCAGAGCCACCTCTATTTATTTATAGCAGGATATACAAACTTATAATGGAAAAACAATCAGTTCAAAATAATTAACCAAATATGAAATGCTTTCAAGCTCCAAATCTTCTGTTTTGGATTTCTTTTCTGAATATGAATGACCAAACTTGGTTCTCTGTTCCAGAAAAAATGGTTGAGAGGCATCTTTTCTTACGTGAAGCTCATCTGAAATATTCCAAAATTAATTAAACTGATACCTTCATATAGTATCCCTTTCATGATGCTGATGGATGTTGGGAAGAGAGTAGTTACAGGAGGTTCTGTGGGGATTACTGAAAGGGGAACTATGAAATTATTGTCATAATATCATCATCTTCATTTCAAATAATTGAAACTGTTGTGGTACTTTCAGAATCCTTTAGGAAATGTTTTATAACATACCTACGTTATCATAGAATCCTTGTTAAGTAGCCGCTTTGCTAGCCTGATACAGTATCAGGCAGCTGTCCAGACATGGAAGGAGAATCTGCAGATGGTAAGCTTTTAGCATTTAACTAGGTTTATTAATCTGATGACTGCCTTTTCACTGGGTCAATTCAGTTGATGATTCATGTCTCTACAGCTGAGTTCATGGCACAGAGTTTTTATCTATTTATATTTTTTCTTTGAAGAAAAATAAGACCAGATAAAATTTAATGTCTTGCCATGCCAGGGGCTAGAAAGTATTTTCCTTTTTACTATAAAGTAAAAATTTTACATATGTTCAAAAGTTTAAAAGTTATCTGTGTTGAACAGAAGTTAAATGTACTTTGAGTTCTAAAGACATTAAGCTTTTAGTAATCTCCTTTACAGAACAAATTAGTTAGGGTACAAAGGGTGTTAGCAAGTCATATTGTGCACAATCAAGAGTCAAAATGTATTGACTAACTCTTACACCAGATGCAAAAAAATGCATTGTTCCCTTTCCAGTCTTACATATATCACTCAGTACAACCATAAATGCAAGTTAAATTCAGAGTTTGTCAATGAACTCATCCATGAGCTTATTTAGGTATCCAAGAACCAGTGATTTCAGAAGAAGTCAAGCACAAAATAAAGACTAGGTGTCTAAACACAACTCGTGATCTGGCCCATATGGCCACTCTTGAAAACGTTTCATTTTGATTTATGAAGTATGTGGTTTACATTTGTAAGTAGCTAGAGTTTATGTGTGGAATTTTTTCCATTTGTGGAAACAAATACTGGGGACAGTACACTGATTTAGAGAAACTGCTCCTTGGTTTGGGAAATGATTTCTTTTTTTTTTCTCAAATTTAACACTCCCTCAAACAATCAGTAGCATACTAGCATTTAGACCTATACAAATATTTGTACCAAACTTTGCATTCAGTGGCATTTTATGGGATGTTCAGTAATTTGTCAAGTCCCTAAAACCTCCAGAGGCTGAACCAAAATAGAAAGCAAGCAGGTATGTCTAACTCCTGAAGTATCAATAAATAACCCATATAAATTAGGATTTTTACGTCATTCTCTTGATCCCTGCCACTCTCTGCTCAGGCAGATATGTCTGTTCTGGTCAAACGGCTAGGTACACATTTCTCAAACTCATGATGTTCTTTCATACTCACGCACGATTTTTAGACTAATGCATTCAAGTGTTACAAATATTAGGTTCTATGCACAATGCTTTGAAATTCTGTAGTTTCCATACCAAAGTTCTCATGACTTTTCTTCCCCCAATGTTCCTAATGACATCTATCTTTCTTTTATTTCTAGGGCAACATATCCTTCTCATGTTCAGAGCCACAGGTGGTTCCTGTCACTTTTCTGAGCCCCAGTAGCTATCTGGCACTGCCAGGGACATCGGGGCAAGACGAAGTATTCGTCAGTTTCCAGTTTCGCACCTGGAACAAGGAGGGGCTTCTGTTATCTAGTAAAGTACACCAGGCTTCAAGTGGTTTCCTTTTATATCTGAGTGATGGGAAACTTAAAATCAGTCTTCATAAACCAGGAAAAGCACTGAGTGACATCACTGCAGGTAATAAGTAAAAAAAAAAAAAAAAAAATTCCAAGATTCCTATACATAAAAAAGTTTATTATGGTTATTATAAAGTCATTCAAATTTGTACCTTCATTCTTGACAAGTTTTATGACTAGTATGTGTGTAAGCCTGTTCTACGGGTGTGAATTTTAATATCAAATGTTTATAAATACTTTCTTTTCTCATAAACCTGTATCTATGTTGGGTTTTTTTTTTCCTCCATGACTGAGTAGAAATTACTTGCAATAATACAGACTGCAAAGGAAAGTTGTTTGTATGTGTTTGCATACATATTTATGCACTAGATGTGAGGACAACAAGACTGCTGGCTCCTTCTTTCATGAAATGTAAGACCAGGACAGAGCTGACGTCATCTCAATATTTCACAACTTTTTAAATAATGGTAAAAAGCAGTAATATCAGCATGTGATAATATCAATACCTTCACCTAGCAGCACTTCATTGGTAGTATACTATGCTTTGACATTCCATGCACCACAGCCTCCTCAGAGTTTCTCATCCTTTATGTAAACAATTGAATTTTGCCCCTTTCTTGGTGAGGATAAAATTGTCATTACAAAAAATATATGAAGATGAGGAAGTTAGGGTGGGATTGGTGTGGTTTCTGTATGAAATCATGTAACAGAGACCTAATAGCTGGAGGAACATTTCCTAGAAGCAATGGATAATTTGGCTGCAAAAAAACACAGTGATGGTACTGAAAGCATCAGTTGATCATAGGTTTATTTTGAGTGGTACACAATCATATTTCGTAATAATAAAGCAGGATTATCAGTGAAAATGAAGCCAAGTTAGTTCCATATATATATATGGATATATATATGGAATATAATGCATAAACTGAATTAAAAGGTGAATAACAACTGCATTTGCCATTGGTAATTAGAAGGCAAGTTAAGGACCTGAATGTGTGAAGAACTCAACCTTGCATAAGTTATATTCATTGGACTGACAGGAACAAAACAAAAGGCATATTTCAGGGGTGTTCTCAAGCCAGAATATAAAGTTTTTAATGAGGTTGCTTATTGCTAGTTTGCCTTGGGCAAGGACACACACAATAAGTAAGCTAAGAAGTTACTGGCATAAAAATAAATTATAAATAGTAAAATAATTCATAAAATAAAAAAAATAAAACATCATAACAACTAAAGCTTCCAAATCTATTTCAGACTTCACAGGATTAAAAAAGTTATGTAAAAAAGGAAGAAATTTCCTAAAAAGTATATATTTGGTATTAAATAAAAAAAAAAATTACTAACCTGATTTATTCAGAAATCATATGCTTGGCAGTTTAAGGCAGACAAAAAGAACAAAGCGGAGCCAAGCAGAGCAAAGAAACAGCCACAGGACTTGAAGATGAGGCCCCCTTGATCTTAGTTCTGTGCTTCTGTTTCTCTTAGTTTGATTCCATACTTCAGTTCCTGATACAAAATGAAAATTGCTTTGAGGGGCTGAAAAAAGGAAAAATAAAAAGTCAAACCAAACTCTGAAGCTCATTGTGTTTCTACAGGTGTATAATGATTAAAAATAAATTTTTAATCAGTTGATTATTTTAATTCAGGAAAAGACTCTAAGCCAATAATGACCACAGATAATGCTGAAATTTACATAAATACTTTGATCCTGTTTCTGTGGATGATAATAGGATCAGCCCTGGTATTTGTAATCTAAAATAACTGATGCACAGATTACCATTTTAATGGCAAGAGGTTTCCCTAGGCTCACCATTTGAAAATGTCAATTCCTTAGTAAGAATGTCAGTGGTACGAAGTTAAAAGTGATGAATTTGGCTTTTGGGGAGCTATTGCAATTGCAGCTATTGCCATGCAATGTCATTTTAACAGACCAGCTGAAGGTGGTGGCAGTTTGAACGTCTGTAGGCTTGAACACAGAGCATTTTATTCAATTTCAAAGTTGGAACACAATACATAATATATTAGCTGAAACAGCCCAAAATAAATCTTGACACTACAGTGAAACAGAATTTAATGTTCATGCTATGCTAGGCTTATTCTTCATAAAATCTAACAGGAAGAATTGTGTTTGTCTTGGTAAGTTCAGAAAATACTGCAAAACCATCTTATTCTTTTACGAGAAAGAAGTTATCTAATAAGACCGTATAGGGAACTTTTTCTGGAGTTTTTAAAGTGTTTATTGTTACACTCACTGAAGCAATTCTGCATTTGAAGACTGAGTAATTAAATTATGGATGGCTGGACAGGTTTGTTCCCTTGCAGGCAAGGACTTATGACCTGACTTTCACACACACACACACACACACACACACACAAACACACACACACACACACACAATCACAGACTATTTGATAATTAAATGAGTGCATATTTCTTTATTGCACAGCTCTTAAATTCATTATCATGCTTTTTAAAGATTTCTTCAACCATATAAAAACAAGGAGAATGGCATGTTAATTCATGAGTGATTGAATTATAAGCTGTATCCTTTTACAGAATAGTTGCTTAATATCTTTGCTTTGTAGCTTGCTTTGCAAGCTTGTCATCAAATATTTAAAACGAAATAACACATGAAAAAAGAAATAACAGAAAGTCAATCCATTTTGAATTATGAAACTAAATTGCATTGCATGTATTGAGTTACTGAATTACATGTTTGAGTTCTTATTACTCAGTTTCTTCATATGACCCTGTCTTTCTAAGCAGCTTTTAATTTCTGTGCAACTTTTAATTAAGGGATGTTAATCACTGCATTCAGTGGTTATATTTCAGACTAATCTATACATTACTTTTCCTAAACTAGTTTATTGTTTGTTTGTTTGTCACTGATCTAATAAATTATATACATTTTATTTTATATGTGTGTTCCTAAGATTATATGTCGTCGTTCTGCAAGTTGTTCCGCAGACCCTTTTCTTTTAGAATTTAGATATTAAAATAATGAATATACTACTAATGGGGATAAATGGATATCTTGTAATAACTAGTTTCTTATGTGCTAAAAATTTAAGTGCTTTTCTTTTCCTCACTTGTTTCTGATGAAGCATTTTAAAACTCCTAGTAGAACACCAGTTATATGTTTTTCAAATGGAATGGAAATACTAGTCTGTTGGCCTCCATTGTTTTGATGTCATACAAGCAAATATGAATTTACTTAAGTTTCTCAATTCAACTGCTATGACAGTGTTTTTTATCAGGAGTGACTTATTCCATCACAATAGAATTCCTCAGTCCCCAGACTTAATGAAAGGGACTTTGGAAAGTCTTAACTTGAGCTATATGAACATAGGTTAGTATCTTTAATCATGCCAGCCGGTATGAAAGGGAGATTAAATATCCATCCCAAAATCATGTAGTAGGTCTGTGTGATAAACTATAGTGAACAAACCAAAAAGTGCAAAATTCATATAATCAATTTTCCAGTAACCAAAAAAATGTATCTACTTCAGTCATTCATTCAGCCTCATTCTTTATGCCTTACCTACCTTTACAGTTAAATATTTCAGTATTTAGAATATGGCTTTCTCACCAGAAGAAAATATTGGAACAGGATGCAAAACTAAGAATTAAAAGCAATTATACTTCCAACAACTGAAATAAAATTACAGAACTTACTGTTATATTTCAAATTTTCAGTAATGACAGAGGTAGTGGGATTGGGTACATCCTCAATAAGTTTGCTGATGACACTAAGCTGAGTGGTGCTGTTGATTCACTAGAGGAAGGGATGCCACCCAGAGGGATCTTGGCAGGCTTTAGGAGTGGGCTCGTGTGAACCTCATAAAGTTCAACAGGCAAAGTGTAAAGCCTGCATCTGTGTCAGCGCTATCACCATTATTAATACAGATCTGGAGATGAATGGATTGAGAGCAGCCCTGCATGGAAATATTTACAGATACTGAAAAATGATGAAAACTTGGATATAGCTTGTCAGTGTGTGCTTGCAGCCCAGAAAGTGAACTGTATTCTGGGTTGCATAGCAAGACACATGACCAACAGGTCAAGGGAGGTGATTTTCTCCCTCTATTGCACTTTCATGAGACCCCACCCAGAGTCCTGCATCCAACTGTGGGGTTCCCAGCAGAAGAAAACCATGGACCTTTTGGGATGGGTCTAGAGGAGGCCCGCAAAATTGACCAGAGGGCTGGAACACTTCTTCTATGAGGAAAGGTTGAGGGAGTTGTTGTTCAGCCTGGAGAACAGAAGGCTTTCGGAACCTTGTTGTGGCTTTTCAGTGACACCTTATTATGACCTTTCAGTGACTCATAGCTGGAAGTGTTCAAGGCCAAATTGCACAGGGCTTTGAGCAACCTGGTCTTGTGGAAGGTGTCACTGCCTGCGGCAGGGGGTTGGAATTAGATGACCTTCAAGGCCCCTTCCAACCCAAACCATTTATGCTTCTATGATTGTATGATTGTATGATTCTGTGAATAAGAATAGAGATTTATTTATTTTTTTCCCCCCAGGGCCTGCATTGACAAGACAAAGGGTAACAGTTTTGAATTGAAAGAGTTTAGATTTAGATGTGCTACCACTGGAAATGCCCAAGGTCAGGTTGTAAGAGGCTTTCAGCAACCTGAGCTAGTAAAAGAAGTCCTTGCACATAGGTGGGAGACTGGACTGGGTATTTTTAAAGGTTCCCATAGGGCCAAATTATTGTATGATTTTATGATTGCTAAAGAAAACATATAGCAGAGATGTGACTGAGGAAAACTTCATTCACCTGAAGTACCTCTAACAATAAAAAACCTGCTTGCTTAATCTTAGACATGAGGTGAAAGAAGCTAGGCCTTTTGATAGCTGGGGATGGAAGCTATAAAGAAGGAATTAAGTAAGTAGGAAAATGTTTCTTTTTTTGATTATTCTTTCAAATTGCTAATCTTAAAAACAGTGTGACAAATGACTTTATGGAGTATATATAGTCTATACTATAAAGATTTATCTCTTGATTGTATCTTGATCTTGTTTTTAGACTGTTGGAGTTAACATATGAATTCTGATTTTGATGTGATTTAGCTACCTGAATAGTCTCATCTTTCTATTTTTATTTGTTTTGTAATTTAGCTATTTAGAGATTCTTATCTTTCTATTTTTATTTGTTTCCCATTTGAATAATCAGTTAATTGGTGGACTGTTTCTCTACAATATACAAGGCATTCTGGACAGAGTATGTAAATACATGACATTTCAAGAAGGAAAACACAGATCACAAATCATAGGTGCTCTGCAGTCAAGCAAAGATTTTACATAATTCTAAAAGGCTGTATTCTTTGTTCTTCACCAACAGAATTATCTGTGTTCTGAGGAACACTCAAAAACATGACTGACCTAGAGCACTTCTTAAGGGCAATAATGTGCTTACATACTGCCCTATAGAATTTATTGAAGATTATATATGCAAGTGCTTTCCAGAATTAGGACTTTAGATTTATTGCTGTGTCATATCTTACACCTGCAGAGCCAAAGGTAATGTAAATTGCTGTTGGAGGCTACATTTCAAGAAAATTTTCCTATATATTTGCAATAAAAGAGACAACTAAAAGGAACATAATTTTGTGACATTGGCATGACTGTTGCTGAAGCTTTTAACAGGATTTTGTTATTTGAATGTTTGACCCTTGATTTCGAAAGATGAAGAAATCCGTTGTAATAGTGAAGTAAAAATGTGTATTGCATGTAAAATACTGTATCAGCCATCATAATGATATCTTAATGATACCCTTCTTAGATTGGAAGGATGTTTTTTTATAGCCACGACTTTAAATGGATGTATTACTTGGATGTATTCCTGATAATTAGGAGTATTACAACAGTAAGGCTTATTCATGAAAGTAGTTTTATTTTTTCTATATCAGATGTGAGCGAGGGAATGGACAAAGGTTCTGTCTTCACAAGGGACATTTGTGTTCTTTATTAATTTTCTCTTCCTTTCACTATCATGTGGGATTTTTATGTGGGCTGTAATTACTGATCTCTCCTCCTTTTGAGTCTGTAACATTCAAGTAGTATAACAAATAATGGATGTTTATATTTAATTTTTCTTTTATTTTCCTTCTAGGTGCTGGGTTGAATAATGGCCAGTGGCATTCTGTATCCTTGTCTGTCAAAAGGAATCGTATCAGTGTAATAGTGGACAATGATGTGACCGCATCTGCTCATGCCTCCATACCTCTGCAAATTTATTCAGGAGATGCTTTCTACTTTGGAGGTGAAATATGTTTATTTATGCTGACAATATCCAACAGTTAAACATTATTTTTTTTTCTGACATATTTGATCAGATAGTGTGAATTATTTGGCTTGCCTTAAGTCTTTGCCTAGCTTGGATATCATTCAAATGATCCAGTTTTCAGGCACTGCTATGATATTTTTGAGGATGTGTTTCCTTAGAATTTTATTATGTTGTGTAGAATAATTTTTAACCCTTACTCCTTGGTCACTTTTTTGAACATAATTTTCTGTAAT